AATATTTGTTCAGCACATTCTACAATATAGTTTATGTCAAGAGTTATATGTCTTCCTTGTTAAAGACAAAAAACAAAGGATCAAAACCATTATCAGACACCACTGCTGATTCAGCAGAGGCACAAAAACTTCACACAGCCAGTAAGCCATATATTTTCTGGCCGCCTCGCTTCCTGACAAACACATTGGGAACTGGCTGCCAGTACTTTTAGCCCATGCCATATTTTGTGTAAAAGAACAGTGAGCTCTTAAGGAAAGTATACTGTTCCCCTAAGCTGCTCCTGAGGAGCCTCAGGTGCTCCTCCTTGCACACAGGTGCTTTCCAGGGAACACCCTCCCCTCAGTTGTGTGGCTCCTGTTGCACCATGAGTGGACTGAAATATCTGCAAGCAGGCACACCTCACACCTGCTGTTGCATTCACAGTTTTCATCATTGTTCTCACAGGGCCTCATTGATAATGCCTGCATTTTGGTTTTGTTTCTTAAGGTTTTCCATGGAAATTTCTGGTAAGTTTTGAATCCTATCACCAGGTACTGATGGCTAAGAAGAGGCTGCAGTGCTAGTGGCAATGAGCTGCAGTGAATCAGAGACCCTGAAGGAGCTTCATTAGCTCTGCTTTAGTTTCAGCTCATATCTGTCTGAAGTGATACTTCCTGCCTGTAGCATGTTGCAGCATTTGATTGTGAATTGTAGCCTGAGAAGCACATGGCAGTTTCAAGATGCATGTATGTTAAACAAAACTTTGAGAGAAGCAGTCTCCTCAGTTAAAAATCCTAGGAACATAACAATTCTGGGCCACAGAAGGGTCTTTCTCACCTACTGTGTTGTTTTTGTGATTAGTTGTCTGTGCTCATGGAAAAAATACAAGTGCTAAGTTATGGAATAAATAGGCAGAAGTGTTGTGGTTGATGAACTCAGTCACTGCATATAGAAAATCCCTCTGGACTGTAGGTACAACTGGTCAGAGAATTCTTAGGTAAAAGCCTGGATTTGTATGGTTGGATCCACAGTCACATACTGGGCATAGGGACCAGCCACAGCACAAACACCAGACAAGTCTGGGACTAAGGCCATGGGTTCCAGCAATTTGCAAATTTCTAAGGGCATTCATCTTCAGTGACAGTAAGTACAAGAATGTTCAAATGCAATTAATTACTAAGTTACTCTTAATAGCTTTAGTAACCTGCTTCTTTCAATAATTGATTTGATTTGCCTGGGTTATTTTTATATTATTTCAGCATAAACCCCATTTCTTTAGTCTTTGTAGGTGCTGGACTCGATGATCCTTGTGGGTCCCTTCCAACTCAGCATATTATGTGACTCTGTGTTTTGAGGACTTGGATTGTAGAAGTTGTTTTCTGTTGTTAGTTGAAGTGGCATCCCATCACAAAAATTTGCATTTTGCACTAAAGTATTATAGTAAAATTGCAATCAGGCTGTAGAGCTTCTGGGGACAGGAAATAACTGTAGTTATTTCCTGTCCCCAGAAGTGGGGGGGAATTACATATTATAACTGTAGTTATTGGACAGCTCTAACGTCTTTTGCAAAGATTAAGTATTCCAGGAAAGGTTAATAGCCAACACTTTTCTAAAATGGGATCAGTGGTGCTATTTCATGGAGATCCTGCTTCAGTGGGGTTCCAGTCAGTCATGTTGTTGGGATGGGGGAGTTAATCAATCAGAAGAATAATTTCTCCTTTCTTCCCACAAAGGAAACATCTTGCATTGCTCTACAGTAAGCTGGGGGTTTTCCAAGTTAGCAGACACCAAGTGTCAGTTCATGTGATGTTCAATACTGCACTACCTTCATGATGAGTAAGAGTATTGTTTCAATAATCATGACTTAAAAAGCAATCCTGTCCTATTGCAACCTGCCATGGTAAAGGGTGGCTTATGCCATTGGCCTTCAGAAGTTCACACCCAGGTTAAGCTGAACCAGGTACACTTCATTTCCAGTGTCAGCCATTAGTGGCTGAGGTTATCATTAGTGCCCTTTTTTGGTGCAGTGCATTAGTGAGGAACCACCAGCCCTGGTGGTTCTGGGCCAAAACTAAATGTAAACTTGAGCTTAACTGTCTTGGTGTGTAGATATCAAGTACAATGGAAATTCCACACTCTTTTCTAGACCAGCATTGTCATTAGTTCTCTGACCTCTCAGACTAGGTCCCTTGGCTGCCTCCAAGACTGTAGTTAATATGTTCCTCTAATCATCTCTTTCTGCTTTTAGTCACAACATTAAAATATAGTTCTTGCTAAAGAAGATCGTGTTTGTTGTTTGGGAACAATATCCCTGATGTTCAGTAATGCCTCCATTCAGACTAATACATAAACATATCTTTAATTTGAGTTCCATATTTCAGCAAGCCCTTGAAGGCCCTGGAGTGTAGGCATTGTGCATTTCAGGATGAAAGCTTAATATGATGTTTCTTGTTGTGCATTCTCATGTTTCATCAGAAATATATCTGGCAACTGTTGCTCTTCTACAGCCAATATAAAAGAGAGAGGGCTTTCTTATTAACTCTCTGGAGGAGAAATTTAATAAGACCCAGTCATGAAAGCACTGACATGACTGAATAAAGTCCTTCATGTCTAAACATCTGCTGGATTGTAGGCTACTGTAATAATGGAATAGTCTGAAACCATGACTATAAAGTCTCAGTGTGCTACTGTATCAACACATACTCTTTATACAGCCTTAAGGCTGTCAAGTTTGAAGAGTTTCTTTATCTGTACCATTTCTGTCCCATCTTGTGTCTGGACTTTTTTCTGCCTGTAGGTTCCCATTGGCCAGATGTCTGACTGAGACTAAAGATTATTTCTGTGTACATTTTTGTACAGTACCTATATTCTGTTTTAAGGAAAAATATACACATGCATTTTTCTTCTTTATTAATAAACCGAGTGACAATTTAAAATAAATTCCTTCAGCTGTTCAGAATGGTACACAGATGTACAGGCACATTTCAGAGTGAGTTAATAGAGAGCAAAGCATTACGTCACCTACAGAGCTGAGGAAGAGGAGGTGGTCTCTGACCACTAAAGCAAAACAAAGCAATGCCAGGGTGGTGGCTTTGAGAAAGATAAACCAGACTGCTACCTCTCCTTGTAGATTGTGTGGGGAACTCTGGTGCCTTAATGCCTTTCATTCCAAAGCCAAAGGTATCATCTCACAGTGGGTAACCCAATCCTAATTTTTAGGATGCTTAAGTCTTTATAGGACTTTGCTCCCAGGCTTGGCACTGAAGAGAATATTCACTTGCATTTACATCTAATTTAGGTGCATGTGTAGGTAATTGTTATTCCTAAGCTGCTGCTATGGAGAGAGAAAAAAGAGGCTCCTAAGGGGTTGGTTCAGGGGTATGTATGTTAGAGATGTACTGCAGATTTCTCTCTGAAGGATCCCGTCTGTATCTGGACACGCTGTATAGATCCTATCACCTTAACTGAGACAGTGAAAGTGAGCTCTGTCCTCTCTCTGTCTCTGTCTGTAAACAAAGGCAGTATTTTTTCCTCATTCAAAAGGAGTTGTGAAGGACATGGAGACTATGGTGGTGAAAGTCTGGGAAATGCCAAAATGGGAGGTGTCTTTTGTTGGAGGAAAGCAGTATTCCAAGAAGATTGACTTGGAATGAACTGTTACATGTATACAAATTTTGAGGCTGTTGTGGAGAAAAGTAACCTCTCTTCATAAAACAGCAGCAGAATTAGCTGGGAAAAAATGTAGAAGTAGTAAGAAGTGAATAGATTTAGCATGTGATGTGATGTTATGAGAGAGAGAACAATCACAGCATCACTTCTTTGGAATGACCCAGAGTCATTTATGTGGAGTGTGCAAGGGATGAGGCCCAGGTAATTGCACTGTGAGTTCAGACAGCACCCTAGGAAGAGTTCCAGAGGTGGGACAGGGATGGAACCCACAACCTTGGTGTTATCAGTGCCATGCCTTTGAGCCCATTTCAGGGTCAGTCTCATTTGTGAGAGGGTTAACATTTACTGAATATTTGTTCTATTACAGGTGGCATTCCTGCACAGTTTAAGTGGATATAATTGTTGAGAGAGCTAATGCTTACTGAATACTTGTTCCACTAAATTTGGTGTTTCTGCATAGATTATGTGGATACAGTTACGACAGCATCACCATTTTATAATATTTGTGCCTTTAGAGTTGCTTATTATGGACTTTGAGTGTTCCTATGGACTTTGAGTGTTATCTCACCCCAATCCACACTGAGGGGATCTGTGAATCTCAGCTCCTCTCCACTTCTCATAGTGGGGACGTGAGGGAATGGTTTTTTAGATTCCCCATGGTTCTATCACCATCACAATGCAAGAAACCAGGAATTGTTTTTTCACCATACTGTATGTATTTTTATATGAGATAGTCATTTCTGTACTTGACTATGATTACAAAGCATATGTGAAGATATTACTGACACAAATGCCTTATCAAAAATGTTAGTGTCCCAGGATAGTGAGACTAAACTGCTGAATGCTACATTTTAGGAGGATTTATACCTGATGTATTGATGTGCATGATTGGTCAATTAATCTGACCACAATTAGTCTTTCTACTGGTGATTGGTATAGTAATTTTAAAGGTTGGAAAACAAGGATGGTATTATGGAGTAAAGGTTGAAATATATTTATCTGGTAACTTTTCTTTAAACTTACTTGGCTGTGAAAGTAGAGGAAACTTTTTTACTCAAAGCTTTCAAGGTTTGCAGCTATTAAATTGACTGGTCTCAGGAACTTGTCATAGCACTTCCCTCAGGGTAAAGTCATCCCTTCACAAAGTGCCATTCATGCCCTACTTACCCTCAATTAAGGCTTCCAGAATAAGTTTTGGGACACTGGCCTTCTTCTGAAACACAATTCTCACCTGCAGAAATGACTTTAGAAGGCTGTATTTAATATCTGTATGTCTGTTCCATCACTCATTTTTTCCATCACTTTTTCCATCATATGGATAACACAATTTTTTTTCTTTCTCTCTCTATAGAAACAGAAAGAATGACTTACTGGGGAGCCAAGCTAAAAACAAAAGAAGTGAAGATTGGTCATCTTTGCAGAGGAAATTACAAGGTATGCATAGTAATCACACTGGAGATTCATTTCTTGCTGGTGCTTAGGTCTTCATGGTACATTACTTGTGGCAATAAAGTTTAAAAATAGTCCTCAGAAAGGTTGAAAAAATGTTTGGAAAGGTACTTTTTTCTTCTGTGTGCTTCCCACACTAAGCAAAGCAAACATTTATTTGGTTATAAATATCTCTGAGATGCACCTTTAAACTCATTACTATGCTGAATTGTAGCTGTGTTTCTGCAGGTAAATGGCAGTCACATTCAATGAATTTTTTTTTGGCTGAGGCCAGTAAAAACAACTCTTCTCCCCACACTAAAATTGGAATCGCTCCAGATACTGTCAGTGGTCATTCTTGAGACTTAAAGTGCTTGTTTCTTGGACTCATTTAATCACTGTGTGCTCGGTTCAGCAGTGTTGCCATTTTCTCTTCCTCATTTATTACCATCACAAGGAGATGCACTTAGAACCTGTTTTGCCCTGCATTTGAAGAATGTGTCCTTTTACATTTGTCATCCTGAAGATTTGTAACTTAAGGGATGCAAGATCAGCACTACTACAGCACTCATGCCTCTCAAATATTTTCTGTAAAGTGAATGCTTAATATTTATCCAGTGGCTGCTCAGAGAGCAGCACAAGGCTATATGGCACTTAAGTCCTGAGGTTAAATGTTACTTCAATGATGCATAAAATTTGTATTGACCATCTGCCCAGCACTGAGTTGAACCCATTAATGAATAAGCCTCACAGTATCACTGTGAGATAGGGAATTATGATCTCCATTTAACAAGTGATGAAACTGAGCCCCAAGGGCTTATGTAACCACTTCAGGTCCTACAGGAAGTGTATAATAGAACCAGTAAGGAAGCCCAGCTCACCTGACCTGCTGTCCTTCCTACTTGGACACCCCTGCACCTGGTATCCTTTTCACCATGGCTGTACACTCTTTATGCACAATTTCAACCATCAAATTTTATTGCAAAGAAACTTAAAACACAGCTGATGTGACCTGTGAATCCTTCTCGTCCATAAAGAACAACATGAGACACAAGGCACAAAGGCAGCACAAACAGCACCAGATGGCCTTCATAACTGGAGCAAGTCAGCACGAAGTGACAACAGGGAGAGCTGTTGTTGTGACCTCCCTTTCTGTTATTTTCATAATGTTGAGAGGAAGACTATGCAGATCTTTCTGTAGTACAGAGAGGAGCTCTGGTAGAGGGCAATCGGTGCTTTGCCTTTTGTAATCCTGCTCAACATTTCTTTGATTTCTTTAGTAAATGTCAGGTCACATGCTTGCATTCTAAAGCTGAAGTATAAATCATCTTCTCAAGTGACAGAAACTGTCATTTTTCCTTGCAAAGTATTTTTCTAACTATGTCTTATGTAACTGTTACAGTTGTTGACATTTTTCTTAAAAGCCCTATTGGTTTGACACTCAGGATTCTGTATAAAGCTATAGACTTGGATAGAGAATTCTTCTGCCTTTGTTTGTATCTCTTTTCCTTTCCCATGAGCTGAAGAAAGAAATATTATGCAACTCTGAGTCATGCTGTAGAAAGGTGTTGTATTTTTAATATCATTAGAATTTTAAAAGAAGGAGAAAGATAAACCTTAGCATAGTGAAACCAAGAGTTAATATGCCTTAATTATAGAAAGTGGCTGTTAAATTTTCATGGGATGCTATGACTGATACTTCAAATAAAATGTTGATGTAGTGAAGCGGGGAGTGTCAATAATGAGTTGAGTACTAGAGAGGCTGTTGATTTTTATGGAAAATATATATATAAAAAATACATGATCCTCCACCAAAGACTTTCTTGTGGAGATATCCATAGGAAAGAATCAAGAGTGTAGACTTCTTCTGTCTGTCTTGCCTTGTGTCTACAAGAGCACAGCCCTAATAGCTGTGTCTTGGCATGGAATGGGCTGAAAGTACTTGCCCACATGAGATGTTTTACTGTGCCCAGCTTAAGGGTGATACTGATTCCTGCCCAGCTTAAGGGTAATACTCTAGCATTATTAATCTGCTTTCCCTACTCTTTCCTGCCTGCAGAAGAAGCTATTGATATGTCTTTCTGACAGGTCTTTCTCAGAAGAAACAGCGGCAGAATGTGGAATCAGTTGTGTGGAATTCCTGTTGGCAACACCTTTGACCCTCGACTTCTGCTAGATCCAGCTGAGTGATCAAAGAGAGAACTTTTGCAGGTATTTCATGTCTTCACCTGTGCTAATCTCACCTTAATGAGAAGCAAATTATTCTGGAATAGTAAATTCAAGAAACGGTTGTATTCTTCTGAGAGTGATCTGGAATGCCAGGAGCTTGGTCTTGAGTGGGCCCATTAATTCTACTGCATCCAAGTCCGATCTTTTAGTTAAATTTTAAGTAAGCTACAGACCTTTGTGGTAAATGCAGGGTATTTTAAGACACACTTGGGACTCTGAAGATACACTAAATGTCTGTATTGACATAGTTTTCATCTCTCAAACCTAGCATCTGAATTGTTTGGTTAAGTATCCTGTGGCTGTCGAAGAACATTACTGAATCTAGAAAGGATATTCAGGTCTTGATCTAAACATCTCTGCTTTATAAAGAGATACTGTCTAATAGCCTTCACAGCAAACAGTTGAACTCTATACAGACACATGCTAGAAGGGGCACTGGCCCTGTTAAGAGTGAAAAGTGCCCTCCTCATTCCCATGACTAACAGCCAGACTCCTCACTGAGTTTAGAGCAACCTGCCCTGGCATCTGTGGCATCTTGTGGTCATGACTTTGGGTTTTGTCGAACCCCAGTTCCCTTCCTGTCAAAGGCAGAAGTAGGAGATGAGGTGATTCTTGTGACACATGTGCCCTGTGTCAGTCTGGGTACTTAAATGATCTTAGCACTGAAGCTTCTCAAAGCTGGTTCATGGGCATTACAAATTTGTTCTCCTCAGAACATAGAGGAGGAACACAATATTTTACAGGTGAGGAAGTGAAGCACAGCTGTGAATACTTTAGGATGCATAACCTCAACAGATGAGGATAGATCTTTAGAAGTCTTCAGTGTGGATCAGCTTGTAATGTTTTCAGGGAGACTGGCAGCTGAGTTACAGTTTGCCTTTGAAAAGTCTGATGAGTTATTTTAGCATCTAAAGAAGCCAGAAGAACTGAGCTTATTTTTCTGAAAACTTGACCCAAGTATTTGCTCATGATCATGAAAGAAATATGTGCTTCATCTGGTAAATCAATCCAGCTCAGTTAAATTTCTGCATACCCAAAGGACCTTCCTCTCTCCCACCTTGCTCACTTCCCTGTTCCAAAGAGTTTTTTTGCTGAGTACTTGGAAGGCAGTGCAGCTCTTCTGTGCTAATTAAATCTTTCTTTCTCTTACTGCCAGCTGTAACAGAGGGAAAATCCCAGTAGGACTGACAGAGAGTCCTGTTGTGCTCATTAGACCTTACTGAGTCTGGAACCCTGAAGTCTCCAAAGGCTTACTAGATCATCTCTTTTTAAGACCTCTGTTGGTACCAGTTATTTCAAATAGCAAATGACTGTCAAGTCTCAGGAATTTGCAACAGTAGGTCTCCCCAGTCACTGGTTAAAACAACTTGAAGAGAAGGCTCTGGGGCTCCTTCCAGTGCCAAAGGGTCTCCAAGAGGTGGAGAGGGACTTTGGATAAGGATCTGGAGTGACAGGACAATGGGGAGTGACTTCCCACTGTTAGAGAGTAGGTTTAGATTGAAAATTAGGAAGAAATTCTCCCCTGTGAGGATGGTGAGGCCCTGGCACAGGGTGCCCAGAGAAGCTGTGGCTGCCCCATCCCTGGCAGTGCCCAAGGCCAGGCTGGACAAAAGTGACCTCAGGATAGTGGAAGATGTTCCTGTCAATGGCAGGGGCTGGAACTGGATGATCTTTGAGGTCCCTTCCAACCCAAATCATTCTGTGATTCCATGATTCAATACCCCAAGAAATCTGCAAAGAAAAGGAAGATAACTGAAATGTATGGCTGGAGCAAGAAGTCAGAGGGACCATTTCCAGTTGTTTGTTTTAATAAGTTTTTAAAAGCTAGAATATTTTTCACTGGCAGGTTTTTTGAATGACTGAATACACTCAGAGCTCAGTATTTGCAAGGCCTGGAGGAACACATTTTGATTTTCTGATGGAAGACTGCAGTCTTCAGCCCTCTCAATATTAAGAACATTGGAGCCTGGGCTTCCTGTTGGTGTTTCTAAATCAAACTTTAATCAATCTTGAAAAAAAAGGACTTTAATAACCTGAATTATGGCCCCCAGTGCTAGATCTTTGATATCAGAGTGAGCCTAGCAGTACTGATTTTCTCACGCCCAGCATTTCTTCTGATACTTTTTGCCACTTGTTAGGAATGTGTATTTTAAGAAAACCTCAGTTTAGGAAGTGCCTTTTCCCAGCAATTTTTCTGTGTTTAAGTGGAACCTTCTTACATCACTCACATATATTTTTTCCTCATTTTGAAGCAAATTATTTTTTTTAGGAACTCCTGGATTCCAGAATCTAAAAAAGGAAATTTTGTTCCCTCTCCAAGTATGACACAGCGTTTGTCAGTCGCACCAGATGGGGAAGATGAGCCAAGAAAGCAGCATAGATAGTCAACCAATGTTATTTTTTCATGTTGATGTTTTTCTGTGAGGAGGCAAATGTGCTTTTTGACTCAGTACAGTGTTTTAAGTTCTGGCTTGTCTGTTCAGAAGAACTTAGAGTTCATTTTAGTAAAACAAACTGGAGAGATTAGAAAATTCAGAGCCTTTCTGAGAGAACAACAAATACCTGAAAGGGGATACCTTCATTTTTGGCCAAGAAATCTGGTGAAACACCCCATAGCTAAAAACAGGATTTTCCTTTAGTGCTCTTTGTGCATTGTGGTTTTATTTGCTGCAGAAAAGGTTCTGTACAGTGCTGATTCTCCAAAGCAGATGGCAAACAATGATTAACCAGTTCCTTCCAACTGCTCACTCATGAGCAGACACCAAGTTGAACCAGTTATTCATACTGAATTGAGCTTAAAAAATATCATGTATTTATGAGAGTAAATGTTCTCATCTAAATGGAAACTTTCCCAGAATAGTGCACTTGGGTCTGGATGGATATCTTTAAGCATATTTCTGGTAGCAGAGGGTATGAAAAAGTAAATTATACTAGAATATGATTATAGTTCTTAATGTAATTTAAAATTATTCCATTGTAAGTGAAATAGTGATGCACAAGGGCAGGACCTCTGATCCATGTGCATTTGCAAACCTGTCCTAGGCAGCACTAAGTGTCTTGTGTGGCTGCTTAGTCTTACTATCCTGTCTAAAGCTTCTTTTAAGCTTTGAGTGGAAGCATTGCTCTAACAGTAGTATCAAGGATTTTAGTTTTATGGCATTAAGAGCTAATGGGAAGCACATTTGCTGTGCATTCACATTCCTAAGCTGTTCTACTCATGGCACTTCAAGGCCAAGTGAGGCCTAGGATAGACGAAATTTAAAAAAAATTAAAAAGATAAAAAAACTTTTTAATATTGATAATTTGAGAAATTGTGTAAATGCTGTCATCAACAAGATCATAATGAAACAGGCTGGGGCAGCTGTGTAGGAAGCAACTCTGCAGAAAAGGATCTGGGGGTCCTGATGCCCAGGTTGACACCCTGACACCCCCCAGCCATGTGCCAACTGCATCTGGGACTGCATGAGCAAAACAGAGCAGTGACCTCCCTCTTCACAGCACTGCCTTGGAATCACAGAACGGTTTGGGTTGTTGGGAGGAACCTTAAAGATATCCAGTGCCACCCCCTGCCATGGGCAGGGACACCTTCCACTATCCCAGGTTGCTCCAAGTCCTGTCCGACCTTGCCTTGGGCACTGCCAGGGATGGGGCAGCCACAGCTTCTCTGGGCACCCTGTGCCAGGGCCTCACCACATCACAGGGAACAATTTCTTCCCAATATCCCACCAAACCCTGTCCTCTCTCACTTTGAAGCCATTCCCCCTTGTCCTGTCACTTCAGGCTGTTATAAGTAGTCCTTCTCTGTCTTTCCTGAGGGCACCCTTCAGGTCCTGGGACAATGAAGTCACCCCAAAGCTGCTCTTCTCCAGGCTGAACAATCCCAGTTCTCTCAGCCTTTCTCCATAGCAGAGCTGCTCCATCCCTCTGGTCAATGATGTGTCCAGTTTGGGAGCAAGAGAGGCACCAGCACTGTCAGAGCTCACATGCACTGAGCCAGCCAGTGCCACCAGGCTGCTCAGAGCTGGGAGAGCTGGGTCTGAGCAGGCAGGGAGGGCACAGAGAGCTGGGTCTGTGCAGGCAGGGAGGGCACAGAGAGCTGGGTCTGTGCAGGCAGGGAGGGCACAGAGGGCACAGAGAGCTGCAGTGCTGCCTGCAGCTGCCTGACCCCACGATGAGAGGCTGGAGCTCGGCTCCTCTCGGAGCTGCACAGCAATAGAGCAAGGGCTGAAAGCCACAAGTTGCAACAAAGGAAATCCCAGTCAGATATAAGGGAAATCTTTTAACCAAAGAGTGGTCAAAGGCTGGAAGGGGTGCCCAGAGAGGCTGTGAGTTTTCCATGCTTAGAGGTAGCCAAGATTCAGTTGGGTGTGTGGCTCAGCAACCTGATTAATTAGACCTGCTTTGAGCAGGAGATTGGACTGGATGCTTTCAGGGGCCCTTCCAACCTGGATTATTCTGTTATTCTTTGATTCTTTTACAGCAAGGACTCAAAAAAATACTGCAGACTTGGCCCACTGAAAGACCAGAAAGGAGCAACTTAAGTTTCTTATGTGGAATTGATAATACTGTACATCTTCCCATTCACCTTCTGGGATCAAAGAGTCAGGGGTTTATGTAATGAATAGTGACCTCAGCATTTTTCTGTATGGCTCTGCCTAAAGGGAAACCCCAGCTTTGCTACATTATATCAAAATTCTTACTGATTTCACCAGACTGTGAATTCTGCCAGCTTGAATGGGCATCACTGGAGGGTTCTTCAAAGTCAGATAATGGTTTTAAAGCAGGGAGAACGTCAAAGAATAGTTCTGAGTTTTTCTGAAAGTGTATTTCACAACATCAGACTCCTTTAGCATAGACACATTAAGTAATGCTAGTTTTGGAAACAAACAAAAGGTATTTCTCTCAGCTTTGTACTTGTGTTCCTGACAGCACGAGTATTTAACTGAGTGGCTGAAAAAAAAGAGGGAAAATTGCACGGAAGA